CCATTTCCAAATTCTGAAAGACCGCGAAAAAAAAAAAAAAAAAAAAAAAAAAAAATAAACGAGAGGGAAGTGCTCCTCTTTGCGGGGTTCCTATACAGACGACCTTTGATGGGGCTTTTATGCCTGGTGAAGACATCACTGTCCTGATTGTTAGCAATTGATCAATGAGTCCCACCAAGTCGCCATCTACTCCAAGGTACGTCAAGGCTTCGGTTGTGTTGTTTGGGAGAACGTTGTTGAGCATGAAAAGCCTGTTCTTATGCGTGCTTTGGATATAAAGGTTGCGCTAAGAGAGGTTCTTAGGTGGAGGCCTATGACCCTTTCGAGGGTCCTAAGCAAAATTGAGATTCTTCACTAGTGCTGGTCCAATTTCCATCTTTTTTTTTAAGATAGCCTAGAGTTGTGGCTGATTTAAATAGGATTTTCCTCAACTTTTTGACAGTGCGCAACCGTTTTGCTTTTTGACTGAGTGCGCAACCGTTTTGCCGTGGTACATCTTGGAAGCGTTCCCGTTTGAGTTGCGGACGCTCCTTTTTGAGCTTCTATGCAGAGACCGCTTGTGTTGGCGTTTTGCCAAATGCCATAAGTACGCTTTTGGCCCACTCAACCTTCTTCAGCCATTCGTCTGAGTTTCAAGAGGTTTTGACTCTTCTTCTTCTTACTAGTTGGCATCTTACTAGTTGGCCAGCGCTTCTATTCTCCGCATTCCCCGTTTCCTTAGGCATTCGCTAGCTGCTGCTAGTCACGCCTTCCTTCACTACACCTAAAGGTGGCGCTCGGGCCGGGAGATGACACCAAGGAAGCAGATTTGAATGGTTTTCATTAAGTCATCTCCAGTCAAGGACGGGCCTTACCTAAGAGAAAAAGAGTGATCATAAATGTTTTGTAGCGAAAATTTGCATAGAAGGCAATGGGTGGGGTTTGTACTGTGATGTCTTTGTAGTTATATGTAAAAGTAAATTGACTAACAAGTGTAATATTCAAATTAAATCTCATTTTCTTATCAATTCTTTTTCAATTGTATATAATCCCAATAGCCCTTTTTAACCACTTTTTTTGAAATTTGCATTTCTAGTTCGTAACCTCAAATTCAACAGCTCAGAGTTGTTTGCCCTGTGGAAGTCTATCAAGGGCCAAGTATCCAAGAAGAATGCTGTTGTCGAATTTTTTAAAATGGCAATTGTCAGCAATATTTCTGAGGAAATTATTTAAGATTCTGAAGATGCCAAAAATGGAAAAGTTTCAGGCATAATACAAAAGTATTTTAAAGCAGACATTCTGATTGGCTAAACACACAAACGTGTGTATCAGTTGGCCAGCCCTGCATTAACATATGTATAGTCCAAAATATGGCACGGCGCAACATAAACAGGTTGGCAGATCTTGTGATATCTCAAGGAGAAGACACAACTTTATTGATACAGCCAGCAAGGATGGCCGCTCAAAAACAGGGTAGACACGACCTTTTATTTGTGTTAAATTTGCTGTCGTTATGCCCGGAAAAAGCCAAATTTATTCGTAAAGCAGTTTCCACTGCACTTCTGTAGCCAATACCAATTGAGCCCAATGAAGCCTTAGCCTTGCTACTTGATAAAAACCTTAGCAAAGAGCACTATTGTGCAATAAGGGAGCAATCCAAAGAAAATAAAATTCCAAAAAGAATAAAAATAATCGAAAACAATAAATATTACTTTTGTAAAGTAACAAAAAAAAAAGATTTTGTTACTTATATTAAAAGCCTTCGTGTTCAAAATAACCTGAAACTCAAAAAAAAAATCAGTGTGTGTCTAGGGACACGCGTGAGGAACGAAGTTCCTTTGGCATGTTTGGCAATGAAGGAGAGACAGGGGTGAATGAAGGCGAAAAATTATTTACAACAACAATTTACAACTTTATATGTACAAAAATGATTTTGAATCATTTATACTCGTGAATCTCGCGTAGTGGGGAGCATGAGCAGTGGAGAAACGCTCGACTGTGTAGAACGAGAGAGTGGAAAAATGGTTACATTCTCTCACTCTTCGAAGAAAAAGGAAACAGATAGCTAAAGGAAAGCTAACTTCGGGCGGAGCCGAAGTTGATATAACCTTGCAGTTATAACCGGGTATACATCGCAAACATCGGATATAGTTGGATATATAGTCATCGGATATAGTCATCCTTATGAGAATATCATAATAAAACCAATTAATTACAATAAAACATCTAAAAAAAAGTCCCAAGCTTCTATCTTCAAAAATACCAAAGTTGGTATATCTACCAAAAACCATTCCCGATTTTTCAGTTATATGGCAGCTATAAGATATAGTCGGCCGATCCTTATGAAATTTGTTAGGTGGGATTAACTAACCAAAAATATAAAATATACCAAGTTCCAGCTTTCTATCTTCAAAAACACGAAAGTTGGCTCATTTCCGATCGTTCAGTTATATGGCAGTTATAGGAAATATTAGGCCGATCCCTATGAAATCTGTCATGTCCTATTATTTTGCCAAAAATAGCTTTCGTGTAATTTGAACTCTCTAACTCTAAAAACACAAAAGTTGTACCATTTCCGATCAATCAGTTATATGGCAGCTATATGATATAGTCGGTCCGACTTATATAGTCGGATATAGTCGGTCCGACTTATGTACTGCGTGCAAAGGACAGAAGGGTGTGTAGTTTCAAAGTTTCAAGTCGGTAGCTTTAAAACTGAGAGACTGAGATCGCGTAGAAACAGACAGAAAGACGGACAGACGGACATGCTCATATCAACTCAGGAGGTGATTCTGATCAAAAATATATATACTTCGGAGTATAGGGTCGGAGATGTCTCCTTCAGTGCGTTGCACACTTTTGACCAAAATTAAAATACCCTCTGCAAGGGTATGAAAATAGAGAGATCGAACTATTACGTAAGATGAAGCATTTTTCTATCTATTTTTTGTCGTTTTATTTTTAGCAGCCACCAATTATTTATATTTTTTAATTTGTGAGAGATCAAATAATCTCGATAAACAGACACTGTTTCTAAGATTACTTCCATTTGGAAAGTGAGGACCGATCCTCCAAAATTTTTGTGGAGAAGGTCCGAAACAGTTTTAAAATATTATTGACGCTTTAAAATAAGTATTTTACTATATTTTGCTTATTTACACACTTGTCCTGTTAACACACTAAATTTTAAATTAATTTGTACAATAACAAGTTTTTGGTAAATCCATATTTTTATATCCTTGCAGAGGGTATTATAATTTTGTCCAAAAGTGTGCAACGCAGTGAAGGAGACATCTCCGACCCTATAAAGTATATATATTCTTTATCAGGATCACCTCCTGAGTTGATATGAGCATGTCCGTCTGTCCGTCTGTCCGTCTGTCTGTTTCTACGCAAACTAGTCTCTCAGTTTTAAAGCTATCGTCTTGAAACTTTGCACACACCCTTCTTTCCTTTGCACGCAGTATATAAGTCGGAACAGCCGGGATCGGCCGACTATATCCTATAGCTGCCATATAACTGATTGATCGGAAATGGTATAACTTTTGTGTTTTTAGAGTTAGAGAGTTCAAATTTGACACAAGAGCTATTTTTAAATAGCAAAATAAAACGACATGCCAAATTTCATAAGGATCGGCCGACTATATCCTATAGCTGCCATATAACTGAACGATCGGAAATGACCCAACTTTTGTGTTTTTGAAGATAGAAAGCTGAAATTTAGTACAGATTATATTTTTGATCAGTTGATCCAACCTACCAAATTTGCGATATGTTTGCGATATATATCCGGTTTTAGCTGCAAGGGTATATAAACTTCGGCTCCGCCCGAAGTTAGCTTTCCTTTCTTGTTTCATATATGACGGTTTTTCGTAATTATATCTAAAAAAATTTGGTAAGATTTATTTATCAAACTATTTAAGTTTTGATCTTAAAAATGTTTGATTTTTTCGTTTAAATACTTATTTCGAGTACAATCCTTTATACTTGAAACAATTTAATGCAATAATAACAAGAAAGGAAAGCTAACTTCGGGCGGAGCCGAAGTTTATATACCCTTGCAGTTAAAACCGGATATATATCGCAAACATCGGATATAGTTGACCGATCCTTATGAACACATCATAATAAAACCAATTAACTAAAATGAAAAATCCGAAAAAGGTCCCAAACTTCTATCTTCAAAAATAAGAAAGTTGATATTTCTACCAAGTACCATTTCCGATCGTTCAGTTATATGGCAGCTATAGGATATAGTCGGCCGATCCTAATGAAATTTTGTAGGTCGGATTAACTGACCAAAAATATAATCTGTACCAAGTTCCAGTTTTCTATCTTGAAAAACAAGAAAGTTGGGTCATTTCCGATCGTTCAGTTATATGGCAGCTATAGGATATAGTCGGCCGATCCTTATGAAATTTGGCATGTCGTAATATTTTGCCCAAAATAGCTCTCATGTCAAATTTGAACTCTCTAACTCTAAAAACACCAAAGTTACACCATTTCCGATCAATCAGTTATATGGCAGCTATAGGATATAGTCGGCCGATCCGAGCCGTTCCGACTTATATACTGCGTGCAAAAGAAAGAAGGGTGTGTGCAAAGTTTCAAGTCGATAGCTTTAAAACTGAGAGACTAGTTCGCGTAGAAACAGACAGACAGACGGACAGACGGACAGACGGACAGACGGACATGCTCATATCAACTCAGGAGGTGATCCTGATCAAGAATATATATACTTTATAGGGTCGGAGATGTCTCCTTCACTGCGTTGCACACTTTTGGACAAAATTATAATACCCTCTGCAAGGGTATAAAAATTAAATTTTGAAATAAAATATGTAAATATTAAAAATTATATTTTACATTTTTACAATTAATATGGTTAGAATATTTATTGGCATTTATTTTCGGGTACCGAAATTTTCCAAGCTTCTTTTATGTGGAAAACAGTCTTAGCCTACAATAAGGGAATATATCTAAATTGGACTAACTTCTAAATTTTTGTTTTTTTATTTCAGGTTTACGCAAAACTTGTCAACTTTTCGTCGTGACCTTGTGAATTTTCCGCAAACAACTAATTATTAATTAGGTATGAAACCGTAATATAAGATATTTCATAGATATGGCAATATCATGAATACTCTAAAGCAGGGGGCAAATTCTCATTTTCCACAGTACGCGTGCATTGGGTCGGAATTCTGCTGCAGCGCTGCCGCCACACTGACAGTTTGGTGGTAGAAGAAAAACTATTCTCTTATTTTTCAACATTTATGTTGCCCCCTTCAAAGTAATCCCCGTCAGATACAATACACTTCTGCCAACGGTTTTTCCAATCCTCAAAGCACTTTTCGGTATAGCCTTGAAATCTTTCAGCGATGCAGTTTTTAACTCTTCAATCGTTGCAAATCTCCGTCCTTTCATAGGTCTCTTTAGTTTTGGGAACAAGAAAAAGTCACATGGGGCCAAATCCAGTGAATATGGTGGCTAAGGCATTATTGTGGTGTTGTTTTTGTCCCAAAAATTTCTCATGAGCGAAGATGAGTGAGCAGGGGCATTATCGTGATGCAAAAGCCATAAGTTCTTCTTCCACAATCGAAGAAATCAGTGATCAAAACTTTGACATTTTATCGAACTTGGCATGCTTTTTCCGGTCTTGGCCCACCTGGACTCTTCCATTGGGACGATTGGGCCTTGGTTTCGATATCATAACCATATACCCATGATTCGACACCAGTTATGATCCTTTTGAGTAAATCTGGGTCGTCGTTGAAGTCATTCAACAGTTCTTGAGCGATGCTCATGCGACGGTTCTGTTGGTCAAAATTCAGCAAATTCGGAACAAACTTTGCTGACACACGACTCATGCCCAAAACGTTTGAAAAAATTTCACGGCACGAGTCAAGCGATATACCGACATCTTCAGCAACTTCTCTGATAGTAATTCGACGATTTTCTAAAACAATTTTCTTCACTGCTTGAACGTTTTCATCAGTGGTTGACGTGCTTGGGCGTCCAGAGCGAGGCTTGCCATTGGCATCTTCCCGGCCATCTTGGAAGAGTTTGTACCACTTTTACACATTTTTTTTCACTCAGAACAATTTTACCGTATGCCACTGTCAACATTTCAAGTGTATCGCAGCATCTTATTTTATTTTTTACACAAAATTTGGTGTCGGGCCAAGCGGCAGCCGCTGAATCATTTATAGTTTATTTATTAAGCTCAAGTATGGAGATATCGCCTTAGTTTTTCGCAAGCCGAATCTTTTCCGGCCGCCTGACTTCAACGGGCCTATTTAAAGAGAGCATTAGCTTTGCAATCACTATGTCGGGCCGCAATCTTCGCTATCGAGAGCTTTAGCTTCGCGTATGTCTAGTCGGCCCGCACTCTCTGTCCATATTATTAGTCGCTGCTTACCAGCATAAACTCACAATTGTTGATCCCAGTTTCATCTGCGTGCAGCATAAACAAAATATAACGAACAATACTTAAATTCTTGTATTCTTTGTATTTTGGTGCGAATTACGGCATTGAAAACTCTCAATGACCAAGCAATGGAGTTCAATTGAAACTTGGTACAGATGTTAGGGAAGAGTGTACCAACATAACAAAACAAAAAAATCGATAATCGAAAATATGCTGCATGCGAAATTTGAAAAGACACCTTTTTGAACACACCTCTTATATACCACCTTCGTCAGAACCGCCAATATATTGGCACCATTTGTCCGCTATTTAATACGTTTTTAACCTTATGACCGATCGTGACTAGCTTGTAGCTATGGGTGACTTTAAAATCCAAAAATTATAGTGGTCCAATGTCGATAATTCACCATCTTTATCACGCACCATGACTTCACCGTGGGCACGTTTGACACGTCCCTAGTTTAAATTAACCATGTTAGAAATTCGTTAGGTCGGCTTTTAGACTTATATTTTGTATCTGATCCTGATGGTACCACTCTCTCCAGAGCTTTCCCCCTTTCAACCCCATCGCTTGGGGTTTCACTTGAAACCATTTCTGGTATCGATCAGGAGTTTCGATGCATGGCAAATAAGATTCGCTGTTTCCGTAAAGATTATAACAAACTGTATTTCTGCTTCCCGCTTGCAACAATTTGCCGCGGCTAGCTCACACAGTTTGTGGGTCAGTTCCACCGAATTCATAGTTCGACGTGATTGCCCAAGCCCCGAAATAATACAAATAGGGAAAAATTTTACAAACTCTTTATTCAGAGGTTTTCCCAAATACAATGTTGATTACTCCTTGATCTCAAAAATAGAATCCGCTCCGTATCCTTGCTGATCCTCATATCGGCTCCGTCGTCGGCGCTTCTTGTTGGCCGTTCCTGGTGTCACTGTCGCAGCCGCTGCTCCGTCGCCGCTGTTATTCATCTTTCAGGCCTTCCTACCTTTCAGAACACCTCTTTGGGTCGTCTGCGACAGGTCAAAGACTGGGTAGTGCTCTTTCGCTCCGCTACACCAGGGAAACACCGCGCATACCCGCTATCAAGTCTGGATTGGGAGTTGGCCGCAGACTGTCGCCTCAGCTTCACCAGGGAAACACCGCGCATACGCGTTCGGGAGTCTGGATTGACCGGGGTTTTCTTGATTGGTTTCTAACTGGGCGTGAGTTCACTAGTCGGCCTATCCTTGCTTTCCTTGCCCGGTTCGTCGCGATTCGGGAGTCGGTAAGGCGTCCGCCAGACTTGTCCTTTCCTCACTTCGTAGCAAGGCTATCTGCTGTAACGAACGCGTACAGTAAGGCATAAGGTTAGGTGGTCTCTACTGCGCCCCTCTGTCTACTTGGGGGACGGCTTGGCTCACTCGAAAGGGGCGTGGGTATGGGCACGGCAAACTAGACCGTACGTTACGGAAATTTGTCGTAGACAGAGAGAAGGAAGTGGAAAAAGAAAGCGGTAGGAGTCGGCCGATCCTTGGGAGGTTGATTCTACTGACCCTAACTAAAGAAAGACAAGATGTTGTTGTCCTTCGTCTATACCCTCCCTTCCATGTAGACTTTACACTAAACAGTGGGGTCTACCCATATTTAACTGCCATGTTATGATCCGAAGTGCTCTAAATAAAAGAATTTATCTCAAGTTCATTTTATATAATTAAAGATAGTCAAAAATAAGAAAATACAATCCCTTAGAAAATTCAATTTATAAGAAAAATACAATTTAACCTAATATTCAAAAAGGAAAGTTAAACATAGAGTTTAAATTTATGCAATGTTAAGAAAATTAAGACTTTATGATTTTAAGTTAAAGGAGATTTATTGATAATTTTATTTAGGGTGGGAGTCGACACGAATTTGGCGCAGCTATCAAAGTTCGCCTTGAAAGATTGTGCAACTCAGTATTGCCGAAAGTGTTTACACAAACATGCTCGCAGGCAAGGGTTATTTTTCTCACGGTGTCGCAATGATATTTGGCCTACGCAGGCTCACAGAAGAAAATAGTCTAAATACAAACTCTCGCTCTAATAAGTGGCTGGCTACTCGCTGAAGCACAAAAAAAAAAAAAACTGAACTGCTGCGGCAATAGTTATTGTTGTTGTGACTATTCTGCTCTTCTCTTCTACATCCTCATCCTCCCAAATGCATGCTTATTTTGGGACTTCTCTGCGAAGATCAAGTTGGGTCACTCGAAGCTTAGGGTGTCCAATTGATTCCATGTTGGGATTGCTACGGTGGTTCTCCTAATTTGACCTTGTCCTACACCCGATCCGAGGCCCAAATTCCAAACGGAAGGCCTATCAGGCTGCACCTGGTCAGAATCGTCGTAACGCTGTGTCACCTGACAAGGGATTGGTTATGTAGGATATTCTAACTAGTCAAACCTTGACTCACCTTATAAATTTATTCCCTCAACACGATCACAATAACTCTTGTTTTAAACTTTATTTCTGGTCGAATTACCGAATTGTCCGTATGGGTTTTTCCCTTTTTATTCACTCCACGTGTCTTGGCCGAATTTTCTATCACTTTTAAAATACGCTGATGGAAACTTCTTTGCTCGGCCGCAGATCAGAAAAGAATAGAACTAATAAGAACTGCTAAGAGCTTCAGCATTCCCATGCTTTAGTAAAGGTTCGCTACCTAACGGAGGAATCTTATGATTTTCTACTTACTTTGGTCCGTTCATGCAGGTGTGGGTAGGAATTGCATCGGTCTATGCAATTCTGTTCCCATCTATTGCGTGGATACAGTCAAGGAAAGAAATATTGGCCTACCTAGATATTTGTTTTTGTTTTGGGAATAAGGTGCACACTACACTGCCGTGGTCGGGAATGGCCCAACACGATTCTGATACCCGAAGCTTTAAGAGGAACCGTCCCACAACGGATCCTTTCCTAGCGCGTCCGTTACGTTTTTATCTCCTTGGGCTGTTGGACTCTTTAGGGGCTATCCTTCAACTCAAACTACCGGGTTCTTTTTAGAAACTCTCTAACACTTGAATGTCGGACTCTCCAAAGGCGGTCCTTTAACTCTACGCTCCGTTGATGTTAACCCCGCCGCACTTTCTAAACATGGTTTGACACGCGGCCGTCCCGAGAACGAGAACCACGTCGTCTTTGCTTTCTCCCGGCGCGCTGCTCCCCCATCTTTACCTGCACCCCCTCAACCCCCCTTCCTTGACTTTGCCCCATGCCACCTGTCTTGGCGTGTGGGGAGACTAAATCTCCTCACAAGTTGATTTTCACAAACTATCGATATCGATACATATGATTGCTCCGATATTCTGGCATGCACCGATCTAAATGTCACCTTGAAAAATTTTACCATACTTTAAATCATAGCTCGCAAGTAACTGTTAACCGATTGCTGGGGTCTCAAAATATGTGTTGTTCAATGAGTCTTTGTTGAAGACGTCTGAGGGCAACCGTTTCCTTTGTTTGTATACAAATTTTGCTCTCGCTCAAATGGCGAGTAATATTTTCCGGTTCCATTTGCTCTGTTCTTTCCAAGACCGTCTGACTTTGTGAGACAATTCAAACAGTATTTTTTTATATATATGTGTGTACGAAAGTTTGAAAGAATTTGAAAGAGTGAAAGTTTGTGGGTCTTGTTTCATTTGCATATTTTT